TTTCAGCTGGTTAATTGGAGGTAAGAGTCTCTCACAGACTTTTCTGTCCGGGCTGGCTTTGAACCACAATCCTCAGATCTCAGCTTCCTGAGTAGCTAGGATTAGAGGTGTGAGCCACTGGTGCCCAGCAAACCCTCCCCCCCTTTTTTAAAAAAAGTGATTATTCCTGGGGCCAGGGGATGGAAGGAAAGGACTAAGAAATGTAGAACTTGTGGCATAGACTGCCGCCATCCAAACTTCTGTTTTAAACTGGTAGCTCACACCTATAACTCTAGCTACTCAAAAGGCTGAGATCTGAGGGCTGCAGTTCAAAGCTAGTCAGGAAATCCTTTGAGACTCTCACCTCCAATTAAGCACCAAAAAGCCAGAAGTAGAGCTGTGGCTCAAGTGGCTGAGTGCCAGCCTTGAGCACAAAAGCTCAGGGGCAGTGCCCAGACCCATACTTAAGCTCCATGGCCAGCATAAAAGCAAAGAAAAACAGACTTTTCTGCTTCTAGCTAGCAGCAATGGTCATGTCCCTAAAATGACACCAGCCTGAGAAAGCACAGTGCTGTCACCAGAACTTGCTATTTAATATGGCCAACACCTAGTAATTGACTTCTGATATCTCTTTCTTATAGTACTAAAAATGCCTACAGTTATCCTTTTAAGATGTTTGCATATCACAATTTAGGGGCATCATTCTCAACAACCAGAGAGCCATTCCTTTGAAATGTAAGCATCGGGAAGGATAGGGTCTCTATCTCCTGGTCTCAGAAAGCACCACAGAACCACCACCGAGGTTTAACAGCGAACAATCTTGTAAACTCAAGTTCTGCAGGCAGAATTCCCTCCCCATCCAGGAGCTACTTGATACTAGACATGTAATGGGGATCCTCACCTACCTGTGTGTCCTGGGCAAAGGTCGGGCTCATCACCCTGGCCAGGCAGCAGGAATCCTGGCAGGGTGGCCCAGCCCTCGCTCCCTAGCCGTTTCTCAAGCCTTCCACTCACCGATTCTTGGCTTGTAAAGCTAGTCCTCCAGGCGGTATCAAGCCCCAGCTCCCTCCCACACCGTGATATTTATGTTTAAGGCCCTGAATAAAGCCTTCTTCACTGGTGAAAACAACCATGGAGTTGTCTTGTTTCACCGAGGGTAGACCACTAACAGGCCGAACTGCGTTCCCACGCACCAACGTGTCTGTGTGTGTGTGTGTGTGGAGTGTGTGTGCATGTGTGTGGTGTGTGTGTCTGTGTGTGGTGTGTCTGTGTGTGGTGTGTCTGTGTGTGGTGTGTCTGTGTGTGGTGTGTCTGTGTGGTGTGTGTGGTGTGTGTGTGGTGTGTCTGTGGTGTGTGTGCATGTCTGTGTGTTGTGTGTGTGTCTGTGTGGTGTGTGCGTGTCTGTGTGGTGTGTTTGTGTGTGCGTGGTGTGTGTCTGTGGGTGCATGTGTGTGGTGTGTCTGTGTGTGTGTGCGTGCATGTGTGTGGTGTGTCTGTGTGTGCGTGCATGTGTGTGTGGTGTCTGTGTGTGCGTGCATGTGTGGTTGTCTGTGTGTGCGTGCATGTGTGTGGTGTGTCTGTGCGTGCATGTGTGTGGTGTGTCTGTGTGTGTGTGTGCATGTGTGTGGTGTGTGTGTCTGTGTGTGTGGTGTGTCTGTGTGTGTGGTGTGTGTCTGTGTGTGGTGTGTGTCTGTGTGTGGTGTGTGTGTATGTGTGTGTGTGTGCGTATGTGTGTGTGGTCTGTCTGTGTGTGTGGTGTGGGTGTCTGTGTGTGTGCGTGTATGTGTGTGTGGTGTGTCTGTGTGTGGTGTGTGTGTCTGTGTGTGGTATGTGTGTCTGTGTGTGGTATGTGTGTATGTCTGTGTCTGTGTGTGTCTGTGTGTATGTGTGTGTGTGTGGTGTGTGTGGTGTGTGTGTGTGGTATGTGTGTGTGGTATGTGTGTATGTGTGTATGTGTGGTGTATGTGTGTGGTGTGTGTGTCTGTGTGTGTGGTGTCTATGTGTGGTGTGTGTGTCTGTGTGGTGTCTATGTGTGGTGTGTGTATGTCTGTGTGGTGTATGTGTATTTGTGTGGTATGTGTGTGGTGTGTCTGTGTGGTATGTGTGTCTGTGTGTGTGTCTGTGTGTGTGTCTGTGTGTGTGTCTGTGTGTGTGTGGTGTGTGTGTGTGGTATGTGTGTGGTGTGTCTGTGTGGTATGTGTGTGGTGTGTCTGTGTGGTATGTGTGTATGTATGTGTCTGTGTGTGTCTGTGTGTGTAGTGTATGTGTATGTATGTGTGTGGTATGTGTGTATGTATGTGTGTGGTGTCTGTGTGTGTGTCTGTGTGGTGTGTGTGTATGTATGTGTGTGTGTCTGTGTGGTGTGTGTATGTGTCTGTGTGGTGTCTCTGTGTGTGTCTGTGTGTGTGGTGTATGTGTATGTGTGTGGTGTCTGTGTGTCTGTGTGTGTGTGGTGTGTGTGTGTGGTATGTGTGTGGTGTGTCTGTGTGGTATGTGTGTATGTATGTGTCTCTGTGTGTGTGTGTGGTGTCTCTGTGTGTCTGTCTGTGTGTGTAGTGTATGTGTATGCATGTGTGTGGTATGTGTGTATGTGTGTGGTGTCTGTGTGTGTGTATGTGTCTATGTGGTGTGTGTGTATGTATGTGTGTGTGTCTGTCTGTATGTGTGTGGTGTCTCTGTGTGTCTGTCTGTGTGTGTAGTGTATGTGTATGCATGTGTGTGGTATGTGTGTATGTATGTGTGTGGTGTCTGTGTGTGTGTCTGTGTGGTGTGTGTATGTATGTGTGTGTGTCTGTGTGTGGTGTCTCTGTGTGTGTCTGTGTGTGTGGTGTATGTGTATGTGTGTGGTGTCTGTGTGTCTGTGTGTGTGTGGTGTGTGTGTGTGGTATGTGTGTGGTGTGTCTGTGTGGTGTATGTATGTGTGTGTGTGTGTGTGTGGTGTCTCTGTGTGTCTGTGTGTGTAGTGTATGTGTATGCATGTGTGCGGTATGTGTGTATGTATGTGTATGGTGTCTGTGTGTGTGTATGTGTCTGTGTGGTGTGTGTGTATGTATGTGTGTGTGTCTGTCTGTGTGTCTGTGTGTGTGTGTGGTATGGGTGTGGCATGTGTGTGTGTGTCTGTGTATGTGAGTCTGTCTCTGTGTGTGTGTGTCTGTCTGTCTGTCTGTCTGTGTGCACCAGCAGCGCTCGCAGGGCGCTCGCCCGCGCAAGCCAAGCACTGACCAGTCCTCAGAACTTGGCGTTTTTGCCGCCGGGCCGTCCTCGCCTCTCTGGCTCCCCGCGCCGCTGGTGCGGAGGGTCGAGCGCGGGGCCTCACGCCCCGCCGGGCGTCCGAGGGCGGCTCCTCGGCCGCGGCCCCGACGCCGCGAGGCCGCCGGGCGAGCGCGGGGACGGCCGCGCGGCTGCCCCACCGCGGCCCACCCGAGGAGCCGCGCGGCGCTCCGAGCGGACCGACCGCCCCGACCGCGGCCCCGCCCCGCGGCTCCCCGCGCCCACGGGCCGGGCGGCAGCGCCCGCCGCCCGCGGAAGTGCGGCACTCACTTCCGGCCGAGGCAGGAAGTGACTTTCCGGCGCGCTGGCGTCTGTGTACCGTAAAGCAAGATGGCGGCACTCTACCCGCTGTCGTTTTGTGGCCTTCGCGTCACGGCTAACACCTCAGGAGGATTCCGGCTTCCTCGGGGCTGCGCGCTCACGTTGGCTTCACCGTTATCCTTGGCGGTAGTCGACGGGGAATCGGAGAAACGTAAGGCGGTGGCGGACACCGCGCCACCATCTTGCACGGCAGCTGCGCGGTGGGGCGTGGCCGCGGGGGGCGTGGTCGCGGGGCGGGACCGCGGGGGCGTGGCCGCGGGGGCGTGGTCGCGGGGGCGGGGGACCGCGGGGGCGGGGCCGCGGGGGCGGGGCCGCGGGGGCGGGGCCGCGGGGGCGGGGCCGCGGGGGCGGGGCTGTGGGCGGGGGGGGGGCTGAGGGCGGGGCGGGGCGGGGCCGCGGGCGGGGTGTGGCCGCGGGCGGGGTGTGGCCGCGGGCGGGGGCGTGGCCGCGGGGGCGTGGCCGCGGGGGCGTGGCCGCGGGGCGGGGCCGCGGGGCGGGGCCGCGGGCGGGGCGGGGCAGTGGGCGGGGCCGCGGGCGGGGCTGAGGGCGGGGGGCTGAGGGCGGGGCGGGGCGGGGCCGCGGGCGGGGTGTGGCCGCGGGCGGGGTGTGGCCGCGGGCGGGGGCGGGGCCGCGGGCGGGGCGGGGCCGCTTCGCTGGACCCAGCCGGGGGGGGCGGGGCGGGGAGGGCGTTGTTGTGGCATGACGCAGTTCCGCTTCCTGCCGGCCGGGTCGTTCTGTGGTTGGACCTGCTTGTTGCCGGGAGGGCGGGGGAAGATTGTTTGCTGCTGGTTAGCTCCGCACATGGAGAGGTAAACTGAGGTAAGGCAGAGCAGTCCGCGGCTCGCGCCCGGCGTTGGGGCTGCGGGCGGCCGGGGGTGGCGGCGGGCGGCCCTGCCCGGGCCCGGGGTGACAGCCGCGGCGGGGCGGGCGGCGGGGCGGGCGGCCCTGCCCGGGCCCGGGGTGACAGCCGCGGCGGGGCGGCCTGCAGGCGGGCGGCGGGGCGGGCGGCGGGGCGGGCTGCAGGCGGGCGGCGGGGCGGGCGGCGGGGCGGGCTGCAGGCGGGCGGCGGGGCGGGCGGCCCTGCCCGGGCCCGGGGTGACAGCCGCGGCGGGCTGCAGGCGGGCTGCAGGCGGGCGGCGGGGCGGGCGGCGGGGCGGGCTGCAGGCGGGCTGCGGGGCGGGCTGCAGGCGGGCTGCAGGCGGGCTGCAGGCGGGCGGCGGGGCCCGGGCCCGGGGTGACAGCCGCGGCGGGCTGCAGGCGGGCTGCAGGCGGGCGGCGGGGCGGGCTGCGGGGCCCGGGCCCGGGGGCACGCGCGGGGGCCGCGCGCTCGCCGGCGGCCGAGCGACCCGGCTTTTGTCTCCTGACAGGTCCGGCCCCGCTCGCAGGCCGCGGCCCCGGCCGGCGCGGGCGGGCTCCGGCGGCGTTCGCGGGCCGCCGGCCTCTGTGCCTTCCGCCGCTGCGCGCTGGAGAAGAGGAGCTCTCCCCGGGGGTCTCCGGGGCCCGGAAGCCCGGCCGGCCGGCATGGCGGCCCCCTCCCGTGCCTAGGCCCCAGCATGGCCGAGTGCAGACAGGCCCCCGGGGGCCGGGAGACCCCGCCGGGCGAGCTGCGGCCGGAGCCGGTGGAGGACGCGGCGCCCCGGAGCCCGGCCGCCGAGCCGCCCGCGGCGGGCCGAGGCCGCGGGGGCGACGCCAAAGTGCCCCCGCGGGAAGAGGAGGAGCTGGACCCCCGCATACAGGTGAGGAGCCCGCGGCCGCACCCCGCGCCGCGCCCGCACCGCCCCTCCGCGCGCCGGCCTGGGAAGGCCTGTCACACCGCGTCCCTGTGGCTGGCCAGTGTCGCCAGCGCTGGAGTGCGGGGTCGGCCTTGTGGGTGCCCGGGGGGGGGGGGGGGGGGGGCGGTGAGCCTGGTCAGCACCCGGCGCGCTTTAAGTTGGCGTGAAGCAGAGTTGCTGCTCGTTTCAGAGACGAAATGAGGTGGTTCCACGATTGGACGGCTTGGAAGCAGTCTTCCCTTTCCTGCTTCCCTCTTGCAGTGACGTTCACTTCTGTTAGCTGTCAGACCTTTCAGGCGGTGTCAGGTTTAGGCCTATTAACAGTGTTTGTATGTACGAGAATGTGCTTCGCTATGATCAGTTCTTACTTACAGGCTTGGGGTGCCGTGGCTCAGAGAGTGGGGGGAAAGAAGTTTCTTGCCTTAGACTAGTCACAGTTTGCTTGGTAGAGACCTCTGTGTGGGAGCCTTGGGGCTCGGGCAGAGCTGATGGCTGGCCAACTACGGCCGGGTTGTGGTATTCCAAGGCATTCGGTAGAAGGAATTGCTGGAGGAGCTGCTTGGGCAGGTAATGAACAGGACGCTCATGTGTGTTTGTGCCCCAGCCTGCCTTTCGGTCATTTCTGAGTAAGAGTATCTCAGGCTTGAACCCAAGGGTTTCTCTGTCAACAAACCTTGACTGGATTGTTCCAGTAAGTTGTGAAGGAACCAAAGCCAGTCTTATGTGGCCATTTTTTTGTGGGTTCCCGGGACATGGGACGGTGAGGGGAATGCCTCTCAGGATGCAAAAGTGCTTACATGGAAGCAGCGATGTGCTGGTTATTTCTGGCGTAAGTCAGTAATTTATTTCTGCTGAGCCTCAGGAGGCTACATTGAAAACAGGTGAATTGTTTTCTTGTTTGGTTTATTGTCCACTGAAGGTAAGTTGTGTAAAAGTCTTGGGCTATATTCAAGCAGCCTCCAGTCTTCTGTGATGTTTCTGGAAATTAACATCTCTGATAAAAAGCGGAGTTCTTCTGTACTGTATTGGCAGTGCTGCACCGATAGTGCAGCAGTGGAACATCTCTGTCACTCCAGAGTTCATTCTCTCAGCTGAGCTTGTGCGGGTTGGCATCCTGAGGAGGTGTAAGAGCCGCTTTGCCACCACGGAGCTTGCAATGTGACTTACAGGAGGAGGCTATCTCCTTGTTTCTCTTGTGCATTGTGTGGCATGCTGTGGAGCCTTGTATTTGCATAGGGAGGAGAGCTTTTGGGGTATTTCCAGCACCTGATGATGTGTGTGGCCGGGCCATTCCGCCAGCCCAGTCAAGATTTGATGTCTTGTGTGAAAGTCACCCTAGTACGGGGCCCTTCTTCATGCCTTTTGTGCGTGGCCCTGGATGGGGGAAGGTGAAGACGTGTCCTTCTGAGGTTCATGTAACTGTTGGCAGTTTCAGTGAGTGTCCATCTTCCTGAATCTTCAATTCATGCAGTTGGTCTCCACCCATAAACCCATCAAACCCCACCAGGGAGTCATAAAATATTTGCCAGACATCTGGACTCGCTTGGTGTGAGTGGGATGAGGTGGCCCGGCACACAGCCAGGGCCAAGCCACCAGCGAGGGGTAGCGCAAAGTGGCTGTCCTCTGATGTGGGGCTGGGACTTCTGGTGTGCAGGCCGCTTGTGTCCATTTCATAGTGGCAGCAAGCCAGCTGGTACTGCACTATGTTGTCTTCCCACTCTAGGGAAGGCTGGCTCTCCCTGTTGACATCCCTTGAGAGTTCTCACAGTCCTCGGGCTTTCTTAGAAAGGGTCTCGGTGGAAGGAAGGGTGCTGCCAGCGTGGCCTGGGTCTAGTAATCCCTGTGCTGTGCTTTGCCTTTTTGTGATACCACAATGGTTTATTCACCTGCGTGGATGCACGCACGTAATTTATTCACAATGGTTTATTCAACTGTGTGGACACACGTGATTTATTCACAATGGTTTATTCAACTGCGTGGACACATGTAATTTATTCACTATTATTTATTCAACTGCGTGGACACACGTAATTTATTCACTATTATTTATTCAATTGCGTGGACACACGTAATTTATTCACAATGCTTTATTCAACTGTGTGGACACACGTAATTTATTCACAATTATTCAACTGCGTGGACACACATAATTCACTATTTATTCAACTATGTGTACAAACATAATTTATTCACAATGGTTTATTCAACTGTGGACGCGTAATTTATTCACATTTATTCAACTGTGTGTACATAATTCACAATGGTTTATTCAACTGCGTGGATACACGCACGTAATTTATTCACAATGGTTTATTCAACTGTGTAGACACACGTAATTTATTCACTATTATTTATTCAACTTTGTGGACACAATTTATTCACAATTGTTGATTCAACTGCGTGGACACACGTAATTTATTCACGATGGATTATTCAACTGTGTGGACACAAGTAATTCACAATTATTCAACTGCGTGGACACACATAATTCACTATTCAACTGTGTGTACACACACATAATTTATTCACAATGGTTTATTCAACTGTGGACACGTAATTTATTCACAATTATTTATTCAACTGCGTGTACACACAATTTATTTGCAATTATTTACTCAACTGTGTGGACACACATAATTTATTCACAATGGTTTATTCAACTGCATGGACACACTCATGTAATTTATTCATGATGGTTTATTCAACTGTATGGACACACATAATTTATTCACAATTACTTAACTGGACACATGTAATTCACTATTATTTATTCAACTGCGTGTACACACACATAATTTATTCACAATGGTTTATTCAACTGCGTGGACACATAATTTATTCACAATTATTTATTCAACTGTGTGGACATGTAATTTACAATGGTTTATTCAACTGTGTGGACACACTCATAATTTATTCACAATGGTTTTCTCAACTGCATGGACACATGTAATTTTTTTTTTTTTTTTTTTTTTGGGTCCGGTCGTGGGGCCTGAACTCTGGGCCTGGGCGCTGTCCCTCACCTCTTCAGCTCAAGGCTAGCGCTCTACCACTTGAGCCACAGCGCCACTTCTGGCTTTTTTCTTTTTGCTTCTGTGGTGCTGAGGAATCGAACCCAGGGCCTCATGCCTGCAAAGCAAGCGCTCTACCACTGAGCCATCTTCCCAGCCCATACACACATGTAATTTATTCACGATGGTTTATTCAACTGTGTGGACACACTCACATAATTTATTCACAATGGTTTATTCAACTGTGGACATGCTCATGTAATTTATTCACAATGGCTTATTCAACTGCGTGGACACACGTAATTTATTCATGATGGTTTATTCAGCTACGTGGACATGCTCATGTAATTTATTCACGATGGTTTATTCAGCTGCGTGGACACGCTCTTATGATTACTCCTCTCCAGCATCATCGGGCTGAGCTGTTATCTCTATGTCCTTGTTGGTGGAACTCTCACAGAAAAGTTGTGGGTCCTGCTTATTATCTCCCTGAGTCTCTCAGTGCACTGTGGGAGGGGACAAGAGGCCACAGGTGGGGTGGGAGGCGCTGGCCGCCGTGGCTGTGCTTTCGAGTCAGCGGCCTGGCATTCTGGGACCGTGTCCAACGTGCCCAAGGGAGGCTGCCCTCCCTGCTGGCCGCAGCTCACCGAGGGGTGATGACTCAGAGCTCCACTTCAGCTGAGGGCCGGAGGCCCTGGTGGAGCAGGCCAGATGGAATGTGTTGTGACTGCCCCAAACAAAACCTGACTGCGCAGTGACTCCCACTCATAGTTGCCTTGGACCTGCTCCAGGCTGGTTTCCCGGGTCCCAGCTTGCCCTGCCCTCCCGTCTTGCCGCCACCGCCTGGCTTCTCCTCGTCATATATACATCCCATGCGCGTATGCACATGTACGTGTGTGTGTGTGTGTGTGTATATACATATATATACACACACACATATATACCTATGTACGTATACACGTGTGTATATCTGTTGATCCTGGGGCTTGAACTTGGGGCCTGAGCACTGCCCTTGAGCTGTTTTGCTTAAGACTAGTGTTCTGCCACCTGAACCACAATTCCACTTCTGGATTTGGGGTGGTTAATGGGAGGTAAGAGTTTCACAGACTTTTTTTTTTGGCCTGGGCTGGCTCCAAACCATGAACCTCAAATCTTAGCCTCCTGAGTAGCTAAGTTACAGGGATGAGCCACCAGTGTCCATCTTACTTTTCTAAAGACAGGCTCGGCCTGACTGCTTTGTGATCTTCCTATTTCAGCCTCCCAAAACTGGTGATCGCAGGTGTGCACCTCCACTCCTGGAAGCTAGTGATTTTCTTCCATTGCAGGATGGTGGCACCCCCACCACGGGCAGTAGAAAGAGCACTTATTACTTTCCACTGGGGACAGATTATGCCGAGCTATCTACTTCTGATTGTCTTGTTGAAGCAGAGGGCTAGGGACTGTGAGCAGTCTCCGTTCAAACAATAGGCATCTGATCTTGGACTTCAGTTTGCTTATACGAACATTGCCAGGTGGTCTTCAATAATTTCTCTTCACCCTTAGAATCAATGATTATTGTGTTCCTGAGGCCTTTTCTACGAGGGCTGTGTGTTTTCTAGGTTACTTTTCTAGGAGTACTTCCTGTCTTCTGAGACATCTGAGCAAGGACAGCCTCAGTCTCACCCAAGTGCCACTCAGGCAGGACAGTGAAATCAAAGACTGGGTCCTGGGTCTAGACCAAACTGTCACAAATTCTGTTTCTCATCATTTTCACCTAATGCAAATGAGCAGCCTTAGATCATTTCGGTACAAGCCGTCGAAGGACTGGTCACTTCTAGACAGCCTGGAACCCTGTGGTGGGGCAGGGCATATCATGAATGATGTTGCCTCTAACTCTGACAGGATTGCCTTTTTGAGAGCCGCCCCCCCCCACCCCCCTACCCCCCCCCCCCCCCCCCCGTAATCCCATCAGCTGTGGTGATGGCCTTGTGGAGGAGACTTTGTGAAGCTTGGAGCTCTGTGTCTCTGTGGTGTTGATTCTGCCTGGTAAGGGCTCCCGAGTCCTCTGAACTGTGTCAGCTCCCTGTTCTTGCGTGATTTGTTGTTTGACATCATTGGGTGGTTTGACTGGTTCAGTTCCCAATATGCATGTCAGCTTTTAGACCCACATGGCCCAACCCAGAATTCAGATGCCAGTGTCTTAAGATGTAACAAAAGCCAAATTCATGTGGATATAGTAGAGTTCGTTTTAAAGAATATAAAAGTGTAGTTAATATTTTATGTCTACATGTTAAAATGGCATTTTAGATATATTGGGTGAAGTGAAATGTATTATTTAAATTTCACTTGGTTTTTTAGTTTTTAAAAATGTGATTGTGGGGTTGGAGGCATGGGCAGAAGCGTCAGGTACTGACTTCAAGTTCTGGTCTCAGACCAAAAAAAAAATGTGATTGCTAGAAAGTTTGTATTCTATCTAAGCAGAGTTGCTTACACTGTTATCCAGTTACTAGACAGGCGAAGATAGGAGGAATGTGGTTCAAGACTAGCCTGGGCAAAAAAGTTGGTGAGACTCTATCTGAAGAATAAAGGCAAAAAAGGTGTGGCTCAAGTAGAGGCCCTGGGTTCAAGTCACAGTCCTACCAAGAAGTAGAACACACAAGACAAAATGTAAACACTCCATATGCAGTTCACATTATACTCTGTCTACTGCTCTATTCTAGAAAATGTAGAGACAAGTTCGTGCTCCCTCTGAGTAGGCTCTGCATTTTGCGTAATTTCATATACTGGTTCTTTATTCCATTATAGGTTTTTGCTCTTGTATTTCTTTTACTGTATTGAATGCATCTGACTGATTTCCTGTTTCTTACTAACTTAGAGTATTCAGGATCAAAGTAAGTGTGTGTGTGTGTGTGTGTGTGTGTGTGTGTGTGTGTATAGAGTTATACAGGGAGTATTCAGGATCAAAGCATGTATGTGTGTGCTGATGGGAGCAGAGTACTCAGGATCAAAGTGTGTATGTATTGTGCAAATGCGGGTCTGGGTCCTGCAGCCAAGCACTAAGCGTTTCTGGAGACAGAGCCCTTGGGGTTGACCAGCGCTCTCTGGGAGTCTCTTCGCTCCTTAGGAACGCTGGGAGCTTGTGTGCTTCCTGGCACCGAGGAGGGTGCCTCCGGACTAGGACCACTCGCCCTCAGCCAATCCACAGGAAGCCTGCAGTCGTTTCATTGCTTCTTTGTCCAGCTCGGGGACAAGTAAGGCACACCTGCTGCTTTCCCCTGGGAACACCTCTATGTCCCGGGGGACTTCACTGGGAAATGGGGTCCCAACTGTCCGAGCAGGCCATAGGCCTCTTGGGAGCCGGTACTCTCCCTGGTCTTGGTCTGTGTCGTCCACCAATCCCTTGTGGTTCTGTGCACTGTTTCCTTGGGCTTACCCTCTCTCTTCCATATGAAATGCCGGTGGCAGGTTTTTTTGTTTTTTGTTGGTCGTGGGGCCTGAGCTCTGGTCCTGGGCGCTGTCCCTCAGCTCTTCAGCTCAAGGCGAGCGCTCTGCCGCTTGAGTTACAGCGTCACTTCTGGTTTTCTGGTAATTTATTAGAGATAAGAGTCTCAGGGGCTTTCCTTGCTGGGGCTGGCTTTGAACCATGATCCTCAGATCTCAGCCCCCTGAGTACCTAGAATTACAGGCGTGAGCCACGGACATCTGGCTGGTGGCAGTTTTTACTTTGGTCTCCTTGCCCTCCCGAGCTTTCTTTTATTGTAAAACCACACTAGGCTCCGAGGGGCTCCTTTGCCACTGGGAGGAGCCCAAGTACCCCAGCCCTATGGTACTCCATGACGTGAACTTGTTTACCTTGGGGCCTGCTGGTTGGTGCTTGGGGTGGGGTGGAGCCGCCACTCCGGGCATCTTGCCCTGGCCAGCTGCCCAGGCGGATGACGCTGCATCACCAAGGCTCACTCAGAGTTCCTACTCCAGGAGCCTGAGGAGTGCGTGATGCTCTTCCTCACTGTCTGTGTGGTAAGTTCCTGAGTTACCCTGCTTAGAGGTGGTGAGTCTCCAGTGTGCATGCACCCAGTGGACCTGGCCAGGGCTCTCTTGTAGGAGCCCTGCAGCTCCAAGGGGTCTCCCTTAAGAGAAAGCGGTGCAACAGGTGGTTGACTCACTGCTACCATACTGTGCGCATTTTAGTAATGCATTCCCTGAACGTCAGTTTCCTCATCCTTAAAATAAGGATTTGATTGCCCAGCACAAAGTGGAGTTGTGAAGGTTACATGTAATGGTCTACGTTACGTCTCCAGAGAAGGGGGCATTGGAATAGTTCATTTCTCTTCCCTTCCCTCCTCTGGTCATTTGGGGCTTGCTCTGGGCGTGCACCCGCTCGGCAACGTCCTTCTGCGCTAACTCACTGCTCCTCTTGGCAGGAAGAGCTGGAGCACCTGAACCAGGCCAGTGAGGAGATCAATCAGGTGGAGCTACAGCTAGATGTGAGTGTGTCTCTGTCCCGTGCTCAGGCTGGTCCCGGGGTGTCTCTGTCTGTATCTGTCCCAGATCGAGACAGTGGCAGGGGGAAGAACAGTCGTGGAAAGAAGAGAGTACAGAATCAATATGCTTGTTTCCCCTCCGCCAGGAAGCCAGAACTACCTATCGCAGGATCCTGCAGGAATCGGCCAGGAAGCTCAACACTCAGGGCTCCCACCTGGGCAGCTGCATCGAGAAGGCCCGGCCCTATTACGAGGCCCGGCGGCTGGCCAAGGAGGTACGGTGGCTGGCCCTCAGGGAGGGCTTCAAACTGCTGTGTCTGGATGGAGTATAAACAAAGCGTCGCACCTGACAGAGAGAGTCCCTGAGTCCCGCCGGTTGAGGAAGTTCCTCTCCTCCCGTGGCTAAGATCTAGAAATTGGGCTTACGGCCTCAGACATGGTGGGATGCAGGCTTGTGAGTCCTGAGATAGAAAGTCTAACTCCGTTCTGCTAATGTTCATTGTTATTTATTTTTTGGCTTTTGTTTTTATTGCTTTCCTTAAATTTTTGTTTATTTTTCTTGTTTTCTTTTTGTAATCAAACCCAGTGGCTACAAATGCTAGGCAAAAATTCGACCACTCTTCCCTTGTTGATGTTTAATTGAAATGTCTTCTGTTTGTCAAGAGTCGGGTCTTAGGGCTTATCTATTATGCTACTTGTAACGTTTTACTATTTTCATTCCCCCCCCACCATTCTCTCTCTCCCTTTGCTTCTTGTGTCTTTTATGTGTCTTGTCTTTGCTTAATCCACCCTCTTGACCCAGTCCTCATCTGTGTTTTTACATAAATTATCTGTTTACCATAAGACTGTAGTAGAAACAAGAAACCAGCCCAGGCACTGGTGGCTCATGCCTGTAACCCTAGTTACTCAAGAGGTCAGGGGCACTGCTCAGAGCCAGCCCAGGCAGAAAGGCCCATGAGACTCTGTCTACAGTTTTCTACCAAAAAAGAAAAAAAAAAAAAGAATGAAAAGAAATCCAAAATTGCCCCAAATCCTACTCGAATATCCATTATTTGTTTTATTCCAGTATGTAAAGGTGCTAGATCTGTGGACAACTGCCTCCAAAGAAGTTTATTTCTAAAGAAGACTTCAGAAAGGCCATGTGCCATGCCCAGCCAGGAGAGGGTCTCACTAGGCCCCAGTAGGTGGCACTAGTGAAGAAAACATAGCCCATTGCCTGACTCTGGCTTTCCTAGGAAAGAATGGGTAAAGCTGGTAGGCAAGTTGGAGTGATTTTAGGATGGGCTAGTCTGGACAGATATGATAGACTCTGGGCTATAAGAGTGGTATCTAGTTGTCTAGTTCCTGGCCCTGAGGTGATTTTAGGGCAAGCAAAATATTGGCTTGGTGTGTTAGAATTAGTTCGGTAAAGGAGTTCAGGGAATTCAGCTTTAGGTTAGCTGGTGAAACTGAGGAGTTACAGTGTAGGAATTTGTTAGCCCTGGGAGGCACAGTCCCTTCCAAATCAGCTTGCCTTCAAGATGTCAAAAAATAGAAAATACAAAATGTGATTAATATAGCACAGATAACCATGTGTGTTTTTTGTAGTTTGTTTTAAAAATGACTTTGCTATGTATTTTACAAAATGAGATTATACAATACTGTTCTTGTTCTATTACCATTATGATATATGATACCATGTCTGTATGTGTATATACACACACATATATACAAATACATGTATGTGTGTGTATATATATGCTTATACACGTATACATGTGTATATACATACGTATATCTATATATATATGTGTGTGTGTGTGTGTGTGTATGGCCATATATAATGGAGTGGGGAGTGCTGGGATCAAACCCAGAGTCTTGCATACTAAGCAAGTACTTTGCCACTGAGCTGACTTACAGCTTTTAACTTAACCATGCCATTTCAAAAGATTGAGTATTTCTTCACATTAGGTACACTGCTATTTGCTTAGTGAATTTCTTGCAATTGAAAACAAGTTTGCAGGGCTGGGAACGTGGCTTAGTGGTAGAGTGCTTGCCTAGCATGAATGAAGCCCTGGGTTCCATTCCTCAGTACCACATACACAGAAAAAGCCAGAAGTGGTGCTGTGGATTAAGTGGTAGAGTGCTAGCCTTGAGAAAAAGAAGCTCAGGGACAGTGCCTAGGCCCTGAGTTCAAACCACAGGACTGGCAAAGAAGAAAGGAAAAAAGAAAAGAAAACAAAATTTACTTCCAGTTTTTTGCTTGGTTAAATCCCTTATCTGAAATGCTTGGAACCAAAAGTGTTTCTGGTTTCATGTTGAAATATTCATTATATTTCATAAATACCCTATACACAGAACCTGAAGGTAATTTTTATCCAAATATCTTTAATCATTTTGTGCATGGTTGAATTTTACGGGTTTAGAATTTTTTGCTTGCGGTGTTACATTGGCACTCAAGAAGTTTCAGATTTTGGAGCATTTTGGGTTTTAGATGTTTGACTAAGGACAGTCGATCTGTATGGCTATGATGAATATCTTTGAACACGTATGTGGTTATTTTCTTCAACTTACCCTCTGGATGTGGATCTCTGAAGCTTATTTCCTGTAACATTTGGCCCACAGCCCTTCCCGCCTTCCAACTGAAATGGTAAGAACTTTTCTAGGGCCCAAGGCCACCGCCTTTGATAGTATAAACCTCCCTGCCGTCCATGGGTAGCATTTATATGTATACATATGTGTATGTATCTAGGTCTGGTCCTGGGGCTTGAACTCAGCTCTCATGCTCTTCCACCTTTTCACTATGGCTGGTTTGTGCTACGCTTATTCCTTTTTTTTTTTGGTTGGTCGTGGGGCTTGAATTCTGGCCTAGGCACTGTCACTGAGCTCTTCAGCCCAAGGCGAGCACTTGACCATTTGAGCCACAGCACCACTTCTTGTGCTACACCACTTCTTCCAGATTGTTGCTGGTTAATTGGAGATCAGAATCTTGGGTTTGTTTTCTTTTTCTTCCCTGGGCTGCTTTCAAACTCTAATTCTCAGATTTCAGCCTCCTGAGTAACAAGGATTATAGAAATGAACCACCCAGCGCCAGTGTTAATATGTATTTCTGTTCCTCAGCCATATCCTTAGGAAATGTGCATTATAGCACATGGCTCTCATGGCCTTCTTGGTGAAGTTTAGACAATGGCACTAGCAGTGATTGCAAGTGGGCCTTTGTCCGTCTACTGTCCTCAGGCTCAGAGCAGCCCCCCCACCCATCCTGATGGCCTTCTCCCCCCAGGCCCAGCAGGAGACACAGAAGGCTGCTCTGCGGTATGAGCGGGCCGTGAGCATGCACAATGCCGCCCGGGAGATGGTGTTTGTGGCTGAACAGGGTGTCATGGCTGACAAGAACCGGCTAGACCCCACGTGGCAAGAGATGCTCAACCACGCGACCTGCAAGGTGAGTGCGCACACCGCGGCGCCTCGCCAGGCCTCGCGCTCCTTCCCTCTCTCCGTTTCCTCTCTGTGTTCCTTTCTTTGCCTCCCCTGCAGCCTTCCCTCAGTTCAGAATGTCCCTCCGGGCACCTCCCCTCTGAGTGAGACTAACCCAAACAGTGTGTCGCTGATGGACGCCCAGATCCGCCAGCCACATTGTTAGGCTTCTTTTTGGTGACTGCTTCTGTTCTCAGCATGGTCTCCCTTCTCTGCTTGAAAGTAGGTTGAGGAATGAGAAGACCCTGTCATGGGTTTATTCTGTCACCTGCATCTTGAGCTGGGCCCATTTCAGCCCGTCGGAGGTGGCTGTGTCTTTTGGTTCTTCTTGTACTGAGGAGCTCGTGCTAATGGGACAAAGAACTTCCCCGTGGGGGGATTTAAAATGGTATGGGTAGGGTAATGAGGGTGATGGGCCTGCTTCTACCCAGAGTGTGGCACGTGTGAACTGCTAGCCCGGCGGGCGAGTCATCCTGTGCTCCTCGAACATGGACACGAGCTGCCCAGGCGGTGTGTGGAAGCCGGGGACCCCGGCACAGCTGTGGCTTCCCTCTGAGGGCCTCCTTCTGGCCCTGACCCCGACTCAGGAACACGAGAGCCCCGGAACTGCACTGCCGCAGGTGTGCAGTGTGCTCACGGGCACTTCGTGCTCATGAGTGCTCCTGAGTGCTCACAGTGTGTCTTCCTGCTCGTGAGTGCTCACAGGTACCCTTCCTGCTCCTGAGTGCCCTGGATGGGCTCAGCATTCTTGGTCCAAGCGTCAGCAAGGCTGAGTGGAGGGCGCCATGGTTGACGGTAGATAAGACAATGGGACACAGTGGCTGCAGAAACATGTCCTCCAGGGCTAGCTGGGATCAGGTAGCAGGCCGAGCCGTGTGGCTAACACACGTGTGTTCCGTGCACAAGAGCAGCTCTGCTGCAGTTCTCCGAGGCAAGGCTCGAATGGGCAGCCTGGGGCAGGCACCAGGCAAAGCTCCTGCCCCCGATCCCTGATGTGTTTCCCACCGCCTTGGGCCAGGTGAACGAGGCAGAGGAGGAGCGGCTCCGAGGAGAGCGGGAACACCAGCGAGTGACCCGGCTGTGCCAGCAGGCCGAGGCCCGCGTCCAGTCCCTGCAGAAGACCCTCCGGCGGGCCATTGGCAAAAGCCGCCCCTACTTTGAGCTCAAGGCCCAGTTCAGCCAAATCCTGGAGGTAGCTGAGTGGAACAAGAAAAGGAAAGGCCTGGGAGGCGGGGCGGGGCTCAGTGCGCCTTGGGCGCCTCCTGTGGGGCGGGCAGGGAAAGGCTTCTCCTTGACCACCTGCAACACGGCTGCAGGAGGGAGGCCAGGTGGAGGTGTGCCCACGAGAACCAAGTTGAGGAAGAGGAGGTGGATGAGAAGAAGGAAGGATTGGAACGCAGGGCTGGGGAAAGGAGCCAAGCCAGTTACCGGCAGGAAGAGGAGGGCTGTAGAAGGGAGCGCTCAGGCAGCGCAGACAGCAGAGAAAGCGGTCGCGCTGAGGCCTGCGGTGGGTCCTAGGGGTGCTGGGCCTGCGGTTCTGAGTGGGAAGGGGAGAGGCCTGGGGTGCCCCCGCCCCCTGCGTGCGGTCACACCCCCACCCCCCACAGGAGCACAAGGCCAAGGTGACGGAGCTGGAGCAGCAGGTGGCTCAGGCCAAGACTCGCTACTCCGTGGCCCTGCGGAACCTGGAGCAGATCAGCGAGCAGATCCACGCGCGCCGCCGGGGGCTGCCCCCCCACGCCCCCGGCCCCCGGCGCTCCTCCCCCGTGGGCGCCGAGGACGGGGAGTGCGGGACGGAGGGGGCTGAGGGTGGGGGGCTGGAGGAGGAGGCGGGCCTGGGGCCCGGCCCCACCCCCGACGTGGACACGCTGAGCCTGCTGAGCCTGCGCACGGTCGCCTCTGACCTGCAGAAGTGTGACTCCGTGGAGCACTTGAGAGGCCTCTCGGACCACGCCAGCCTGGACGGCCAGGAGCTGGGCCCGCAGAGCCGGGGCCGCCGGGGCAGCGACGGAGGGGCCCGGGGGGGCCGCCACCAGCGCAGCGTCAGCCTGTAGCCAGCACCCGGCCAGGACTGGTGGCATCACCCTCCCGGACGTGGGCCTCCCAGGCCCCGAGCCCCGCCTCCGGGCTCTCCCCCAAGGTCCTCGTCGGCAGTGCTTCCCAGGAGAGTCCGTGTGTCCAGTGCCCCGGCGCCTCGTGGTCTCCACCTCCCCTCACGCATCCACCAAGAGGCAGCTCTCTCTTGGCCTTGCTCGTTCCGAAGGCTTGCTCTCCGGCCTGCCCATCTCCTCGTCTGTGCTGCCGCCTCTGTCGGATAACGCCTGCTTTCCTCTCTCTGTCTGAGCTCCAGCTGTCCGGCTCTTCCCCTCAGGGAACTTGATATAGAAGACACAGGAAGCTCTTCGGAGAAAATGAGTCCTCTGACCTGACTGGACGGACAGGCTTCCCCCTGCTGCCCCCTGACCCTGGCCCTACCCCAGGCAGCTCCCAGGGTGCCCTAGGAATGCTGCTGAGGCCTGTGGCTCTGCCCTGCCTGCCTCTGGAAGGCACCGTCTTCCCTGCGAGGTCCCTTCTGACCTGGGCCTTGTGTGACGAGTGCTGGGGCGGGGCTCCGGGCTGCCCAGCCCTCCCCTCGCCATGGAGAGCACTGTCAGCTCAGCTGGCCTGCGCGTGTTTGCCCCGCTGGCTGAGCCCAGCACTGCCAAGGTGCTAGAGGGCCCTTCACAGGCTCCCTGCGGGGCCTAGAGACGCGGGATCCCGAGGCTGAGCAGCCTGGCCATTCCTGCCCCTGTGCTTTTTCGTTCCTTCTGGGTGGAAGTGGCAGAGCTGTATGTCCACGCCTTCCTGCAATGTGGCATGAGGGAATTTGGTGCTCAAATGCTCCTTTTTGCTTCTTCCCAGGAAACACCCAAGGCTCTTGCTTCTCTTTCCCCCTGTGCAGGGCAGGATTTGTCCTGGGTGAAGTGTCAGCCCTTAGCGAGCAGTTTTAGGTACTGGGTGGTGCTTACAGGTTGTGAGGGGGCCCTGCCAGTGGGTCACCCCAGAAGTCTGGCGTCCGCCTGGAGCTGTCTGAGAACCGTGAGCTCCGGGTGAGGAGGGGCCTCCCAGCTAGCACGGCGGTCTCCCTTCTTCGGATTGATGTGAGATGGTCACAATGAGAACCTCTGGGGTTTGATGTGACTGTGGATGGAGAGGAGAACGGAAGGCTGTGTGTGTGCGCGCGTGTGAGTGTGTGCGTGCGTGTGAGTGTGCGCGTGTGTGAGTGGGTACGCATGTGCGTGCACGTAAGGGTCAGTCCTGGTTTTATTTAAGTACAAATAAAAATAGTTTATGTAACAGTAGTGTTTTCTGTCCCTGTTAGAGAAAAGGGCAGAGGCGAGGCTGGGGAAAGGAGGTCAGGGCTCAGCACTGTGCTCAGGCGTGCGAGCTCTGTGCTCTGGAGATGGAGCCAGCTACGGGGAGCCCCGCAGCTCTGCCGAGAAGTGAGGGCGTCCCCGGGCGGGGTGCAGACAGGGCGAGGGGTCGTGAGCACCGTTGAAGCTGAGAGCTGAGACCATGAGCCCCCTGGACCTGGCGTGGGGAGGGGGGCAGGGAGAGCTCAAAGCGGGAGCCCCCTGGACCTGGCGTGGGGAGGGGGGAGGGAGAACTCAAAGCGGGAGCCCCCTGGACCTGGCGTGGGGAGGGGGGCAGGGAGAACTCAAAGCGGGAGCGCCCTGGACCTGGCGTGGGGAGGGGGGCAGGGAGAGCTCAAAGCGGGAGCCCCCTGGACCTGGCGTGGGGAGGGGGGCAGGGAGAGCTCAAAGCGGGAGCGCCCTGGACCTAGCGTGGGGAGGGGGGCAGGGAGAGCTCAAAGCGGGAGCGCCCTGGACCTGGCGTGGGGAGGGGCAGGGAGAGCTCAAAGCAGGAGCCCCCTGGACCTGGCGTGGGGAGGGGCAGGGAGAGCTCAAAGCGGGAGCCCCCTGGACCTGGCGTGGGGAGGGGGGCAGGGAGAGCTCAAAGCAGGAGCGCCCTGGACCTGGCGTGGGGAGGGGGCAGGGAGAACTCAAAGCGGAGCGCGGGACATATCAGATAGTGAACCGCTTAAACGCAGTTTCAAGTAGACAGTGGCCTGTGTCTCCTGTAGTCATTAGGACATGCTTTAAATATTGTTAGCCATGTGTATCTGAAGTAAACAGTGGAAGAAGACTCCGGGTTGGAGTGTGAGGGGTTGTGCGGAGGGGTGGTAGATAGCTGTGAACTTCGGGTGGAAGCAGGTTGGGAAGGGATGTGAACTTGGGGCCCCAGAGTGAAAACCAAAGGTTGTTGGTCGAGCCTGAGCCACAGCTGGGTGTGCTGCCAGCCACGGAAGGGAGAACACACCGCCAGCGAGGAAGCTCGTGGGGGGCCAGCAAGCGCAGAGGGGCGGCCAGGAGCTCGAGGGACCAGGGAGAGCCGCACTACCGGTGACACCGCCTGTAACGGTGACAGAGCCAGCTCAACAGTCACTGTGTGTCCTGTGACAGCTGAACGGTCACTGTGTGTCCTGTGACAGCTGAACGGTCACTGTGTGTCCTGTGACAGCTGAACGGCCACTGTGTGTCCTGTGACAGCTGAACGGTCACTGTGTGTCCTGTGACAGCTGAACGGCCACTGTGTGTCCTGTGACAGCTGAACGGCCACTGTGTGTCCTGTGACAGCTGAACGGTCACTGTGTGTCCTGTGACAGCTGAACGGCCACTGTGTGTCCTGTGACAGTGAGCTGAACGGCCACTGTGTGTCCTGTGACAGTGAGCTGAACGGCCACTGTGTGTCCTGTGACAGTGAGCTGAACGGCCACTGTGTGTCCTGTGACAGCTGAACGGCCACTGTGTGTCCTGTGACAGCTGAACGGTCACTGTGTGTCCTGTGACAGCTGAACGGCCACTGTGTGTCCTGTGACAGTGAGCTGAACGGCCACTGTGTGTCCTGTGACAGTGAGCTGAACGGCCACTGTGTGTCCTGTGACAGTGAGCTGAACGGCCACTGTGTGTCCTGTGACAGCTGAACGGCCACTGTGTGTCCTGTGACAGCTGAACGGCCACTGTGTGTCCTGTGACAGCTGAACAGTCACTGTGTGTCCTGTGACAGCTGAACGGTCACTGTGTCCTGTGACAGCTGAACGGCCACTGTGTGTCCTGTGACAGCTGAACGGCCACTGTGTGTCCTGTGACAGCTGAACAGTCACTGTGTGTCCTGTGACAGCTGAACGGCCACTGTGTGTCCTGTGACAGCTGAACGGCCACTGTGTGTCCTGTGACAGCTGAACGGCCACTGTGTGTCCTGTGACAGCTGAACGGCCACTGTGTGTCCTGTGACAGCTGAACGGTCACTGTGTGTCCTGTGACAGCTGAACGGCCACTGTGTGTCCTGTGACAGCTGAACGGCCACTGTGTGTCCTGTGACAGCTGAACGGCCACTGTGTGTCCTGTGACAGCTGAACAGTCACTGTGTCCTGTGACAGCTGAACGGTCACTGTGTGTCCTGTGACAGCTGAACGGCCACTGTGTGTCCTGTGACAGTGAGCTGAACGGTCACTGTGTCCTGTGACAGCTGAACGGCCACTGTGTGTCCTGTGACAGCTGAACGGTCACTGTGTCCTGTGACAGCTGAACGGCCACTGTGTGTCCTGTGACAGCTGAACAGTCACTGTGTCCTGTGACAGCTGAACAGTCACTGTGTGTCCTGTGACAGCTGAACGGCCACTGTGTGTCCTGTGACAGCTGAACGGTCACTGTGTGTCCTGTGACAGCTGAACAGTCACTGTGTCCTGTGACAGCTGAACAGTCACTGTGTCCTGTGACAGCTGAACGGTCACTGTGTGTCCTGTGACAGCTGAACGGCCACTGTGTGTCCTGTGACAGCTGAACGGTCACTGTGTGTCCTGTGACAGCTGAACGGTCACTGTGTGTCCTGTGACAGCTGAACGGTCACTGTGTGTCCTGTGACAGTGAGCTGAACGGCCACTGTGTGTCCTGTGACAGCTGAACGGTCACTGTGTGTCCTGTGACAGCTGAACGGCCACTGTGTGTCCTATGACAGCTGAACAGTCACTGTGTGTCCTGTGACAGCTGAACAGTCACTGTGTCCTGTGACAGCTGAACAGTCACTGTGTGTCCTGTGACAGCTGAACGGCCACTGTGTGTCCTGTGACAGCTGAACAGTCACTGTGTGTCCTGTGACAGCTGAACGGTCACTGTGTGTCCTGTGACAGCTGAACGGCCACTGTGTGTCCTGTGACAGCTGAACGGTCACTGTGTGTCCTGTGACAGCTGAACGGTCACTGTGTGTCCTGTGACAGCTGAACGGTCACTGTGTGTCCTGTGACAGCTGAATGGCCACTGTGTGTCCTGTGACAGCTGAACGGTCACTGTGTGTCCTGTGACAGCTGAACGGCCACTGTGTGTCCTGTGACAGTGAGCTGAACGGTCACTGTGTCCTGTGACAGCTGAACGGTCACTGTGTGTCCTGTGACAGCTGAACAGTCACTGTGTGTCCTGTGACAGTGAGCTGAACGGCCACTGTGTGTCCTGTGACAGTGAGCTGAACGGTCACTGTGTGTCCTGTGACAGCTGAACGGCCACTGTGTGTCCTGTGACAGCTGAACAGTCACTGTGTGTCCTGTGACAGCTGAACGGCCACTGTGTGTCCTGTGACAGCTGAACGGTCACTGTGTGTCCTGTGACAGCTGAACGGCCACTGTGTGCCCTGTGACAGCTGAACGGCCACTGTGTGTCCTGTGACAGCTGAACGGCCACTGTGTGTCCTGTGACAGCTGAACGGTCACTGTGTGTCCTGTGACAGCTGAACGGCCACTGTGTGTCCTGTGACAGCTGAACAGTCACTGTGTCCTGTGACAGCTGAACGGCCACTGTGTGTCCTGTGACAGCTGAACAGTCACTGTGTGTCCTGTGACAGCTGAACAGTCACTGTGTGCCCTGTGACAGCTGAACGGTCACTGTGTGTCCTGTGACAGTGAGCTGAACGGCCACTGTGTGTCCTGTGACAGTGAGCTGAACGGCCACTGTGTGTCCTGTGACAGCTGAACAGTCACTGTGTGCCCTGTGACAGCTGAACGGCCACTGTGTGTCCTGTGACAGCTGAACGGCCACTGTGTGTCCTGTGACAGCTGAACAGTCACTGTGTGTCCTGTGACAGTGAGCTGAACGGCCACTGTGTGTCCTGTGACAGTGAGCTGAACGGTCACTGTGTGTCCTGTGACAGCTGAACGGCCACTGTGTGTCCTGTGACAGCTGAACGGCCACTGTGTGTCCTGTGACAGCTGAACGGCCACTGTGTGTCCTGTGACAGCTGAACGGCCACTGTGTGCCCTGTGACAGCTGAACGGCCACTGTGTGTCCTGTGACAGCTGAACGGTCACTGTGTGTCCTGTGACAGCTGAACGGCCACTGTGTGCCCTGTGACAGCTGAACGGCCACTGTGTGTCCTGTGACAGCTGAACGGCCACTGTGTGCCCTGTGACAGCTGAACGGTCACTGTGTGTCCTGTGACAGCTGAACGGTCACTGTGTGTCCTGTGACAGCTGAACGGTCACTGTGTGTCCTGTGACAGTGAGCTGAACGGCCACTGTGTCAGTCATTGTGTGCCCTGCGACAGGTCCTAGCCAGATCTCTGACACCACCTTTCCTGCCATGGGTGATGGATGCCAACATAATTTCCTTTCATTGCTAGAGAAGCTGCTGGGAGGCTGGGTGGATGGCTCAAGGGGTAGCACGCCCGAGGCCCTGAGTTCAAACCCAGGACCACAACTCAAAGAAAAGCTGCTAGGAGTGTGCATGGCTTATACAACAACAGTACTAGCGATATGAGGGCTGGAGGCATCGTTCAAGTTGCAGGATGTCTGCCTAGCAGGTATAAAACCCTGAGTGCAAAGCCTACTCCCTCCCTTCCCCAAGAGTGGTGTGTGAAGAGCGCAGGTGACGTTTTACTGCATAGTAGCATGTTCCTTTTGAATTCAGAAGGCCTGACCTCTCCTGGCAGACTTGGAGACATATATGTGATTGTCATTCCTGAGTGACCCCCGGCCCTGGCAGGCAGGACGTGCAGGCTCCTGGCTCAGAGCCACCCCAAGGAACACGGGGCTGGGCCTGGAAGATTCTTCTTGCAGAGTCATCTCCCAGATAGGGCAAGTGTGGAGAGAGACCGAGAAAGTTGAAACAAATTCTGAATCCTCCGCGCAGCAAAGATGCTTCCTCACACCCCCAGGTATTTGTACTCACGTGGTGCGTCACTCCAGGAACACGCGTTTGCTTGTGTATTCGTGTCCCGCGTCGCCCTGGCTGGCGGCGCCTGTGTCTGCACTGGC